TCTCTCTCTCTCTCTCTCTCTCTCTCTCTCTCTCTCTCTCTGTGTTATTGTTATTACCGTATCACATAACTTACACTTGTGACGATCTGGTTCGGAAGTGGGAGCCATATACGAAGACGTTGTTGCCGAATTCCAGCATAAGTGTCAATCGGATCGTTAGATCTGCGCAAACGTGCGACGACCTTGTTGAAGCTCCTTTGTGTAACTCGTTCCACGTGTCGCAACCACGGTCTCGAACCTTTGCCTTCATCACGAAAAAAATTGTAGAATGTTTATTTCCTGACCTTCTTCGTTGCGAGGCCCATCAAGAGGTTGTTCAGTTGGGTGTGCGTTATCCCCGCAGCCACAGTGGAGTGGAACAACTGTGTCTCCACCCTCGAATCTCTTACACCACCGTTGACAACCTTCGCGGAATTCCAGTGCCAAGTACACCCTTTCCCGCACACGAATTGCAATTTGCAAATGTGACAAGGATATGATATCTTCTCTATCGTCACCTCCACCTCTTTCCCGTGTCGAGGACACGTTTTCTCAAACATGCCGAGAATCTGCAAAAGTTTCACAGGTCCAAGAAACACGACATCAGGTCTCGCATGTGCATCCCACATGGCCATGTGGTCCCTCACCGTCAAACTTTCAAACATTGGACCATTATCTGCAAATCCGTCTTTGCCGTCGCGCCATCTCAAAGCATTACTTCGAGGTCGACCACCTCGCGACCGCGGAGTGTCAGTCGACGCCGACCCCTCCCCGCAAGAACCTCCTCAGCCAGACGACTGCTCGCTCGGCCCGTACGTCGCCATAAGGTCATCGACGCGGCCAGCACTCCACTCGAGGAGTTGATCGAACACGTTTTCATAAGAACAATGTTTTTTTCTATTGTCTCCCGAGCTACGAGCAAGGGACGACAACTTCTTGCCCATCGCCCTCGCGATCGAACTCAAGCGCAGCTGATGATCACGTCTACATCGCACCCAATGACTGTTGATCGACGGAGGTGTAGTAGACCTGACCCTGTGCCATGCAGGCGAGAAACTCATCCCGGTTCACCATCGTCATACGGCGAAACCCCATCGGGTGCATAGTCCGTGGAGACGGGAGTGCAAGACGGTGGCCGCAGTCTATCATTGAAAGGTTGCACCTCTTCCGGCTCATGAAGGGGGGTCGACGCAATGACACCCAAACCGGGAACTCCACCTGCGCTGTCAGGGGGCGAGCACCGCAACAACGGTGGCCGAGGAAATGTGGACGAAGGCACACACGACGCGCCATGGAAAGGGGCATGCGAGGGGTCTGGACGACCGTGACAAACCCCATAAATAGAAGCACTTCCGGAAGTTGGGGTCGGCAACACCCCAGCTAGCAGCCCAAGAGGCAACGAAAGAGGAGGGCGTATTGGAATTACAGTGGATTGCGCAAAAGGAGACTTCATCGGATCCCCGGAGAACGTTGACAGAGGAGGAATTGCAGCAATGAGACAGCGCAGATGAATCGGGAAAGGAGTATGAGTGACGGTTGTCGAACTCGCGACAGGAGGAAATGGGACGACCGACATCCTCTCGTCCAAACGCTGCCTGGTCGCTGGTCTCGCAAGCACAACATCTCTTCTACTTCGTCCGCGCGGATCCAAAAGCCCTCGCGCACGACCGCGCGAAATGTCGTGGTACAATGGAGAGCCTGCCGGGGTGGTGAATGAGGCGAACGGCGATGCGAACACTGCAGGCGTCGGAAGCAACGAGGAACTCGGCGGCGTCGGCGGACCCGCAGGAGACTGTTGGCGTTCCATGTTCAACCACACAGCGGTGACAGCGCGACGCTGGAAACCCCCAATGCACCTGCACATGCAGAGCCATGCGGAACGAAGAAAAGTAATACAAAGCATGGAAGATTTCGGTGTCACAATTCATCCGTGCGTCCGAGCATTATTGTCAATCTCCTTATAAGTTTATGTAGTCGTATTTATCCTTTCGTTTGTTTCCGCAGGCATGGAAGAGTACCACGTGATTGTCCCCGTGATAATCCTTTTTTTGTTTTCTGTTTTTTATTTTTATTTTTCGATTCAAATTTCGCAGTGTGACCAAACGCGGTCTGTCCCAAACGGCGCCACTATATATATATATATATATGTATATATATATATATATATATATATAGTTGTTGTCCTCTTCTCTCTCTCTGCCTATGGTTTTACCGTGCAGTTTTGTTTGTGACGATATATATATATATATATATATATATATATATATATATATATATATATATATATATATA